CGAAAGCTACTGGCTCGAGCCTCTCTTTGAAGGTACGCTACTTCGCTGAAACATGTGAGATGGGTCGTGACAGGTGTGTTCACAAAAGACCCCAGCCAGTCCGGCTGATTGTTACGCCAGGTAGCCATTACACAACCGGGCGGCGTTTTGCTCCTTGTGTTGTACAATTTTTAGCTGACTAGCTGGTTTTGGTTAAGGATATAGCATCTCTGTGGTTATTGTGCGATTTGAAAGTCTTTTTTTTTTAAAGAAACAACAACCCAGGTATATTAATTTACACATTGTAATCGAACTACAAGCACCCTCCACTCCAGCCCTTCTTAAAGTCTGTCAAATCGTGTCTGTTGTTGACACACACGGGTCAACACTGAGTCTGTCAGAGCACGTGTGTAGAGTGTCATCAATTTAAGTTCAAGAAGTCACCAAGCAAAGCATTTGCAGCTTTTAGAATATTTAAGTTTATAAGAGCAGCATTTCGCTAAATTTATAAAGTAGCGGTCAAAATCTCTCCCCAATTTCAGAATAAAGCCTTTCAGATTTGAATCATTATCATCCACAGCATAGTTCAGAAAAATGACATCTAACATGACGATGTGGCCAAAAAATAGGTAAAGGAATAAACAAAATAAATACTGGAAACATAATATAACAATGAAATAACAAGTGACCACCTACCGTCTCAAGATCACAATCGTAGAAATCGTCTGAAAACTCAGAATAGAACCTAAGACTCTATGATGAATAAAACACAGAATAGCAAGATGTCTATACTCGTTGATAATCAAATCGAGAACGACAAAGAGACCACGAAAACTACTGGCTCGAGCCTCTCTTTGAAGGTACACTACTTTGCTGCACGTTTCGAAACACAAAGAAAACTAAAATTTTACTTTCTGTCGTTAGCTGATTACGTGTCAATAGTTGGCCATGGACATTGACATGCCCCGAGGCGTACGTCTCGCTCGCCTCTCACCCACTGACCGGTAGGCCGAGGCAGTCATTTTTGGTTTTTTGGAGGGTTTTTTGTTTTTGTTTTTGGACAAGACACGACTAGTGTTATTTTGTAATTATAAGTTAGAACGACACCAAATCCATCCTCTACAGTTTCTTTACAGATTCTAAGTGTTCAGGTTGGCAGTGAAAGCCATTGATCGAACTGATAATATGAGAGGAACCAAAAGTATCTACTGGTTCGAGCCTCTGTTTGAAGGTACGCTACTTCGGTGAGCAGTTTGAAACACAAAGGAGGAACAAAATACTAGTTGTCATAATGTTGTCAACAGTGACAACAGACTACGCCTGAAACTGCTGACAACTGGAAGGGAATTTTTGCGAGACACAAAGAAGGACTACGGACAAGAAAATAGTTAGCTCATTAAGTTTGGCCGATCGATAGTTGGTGGATATTGACCCCTCTACTATGAAGAATGCGTTATTCTACTTAGTGGTATATTTGTTAAAATTTGAGAGTTTAAAAAATATTAAAAGTCCAATCGTTTCCCTTCCCATGAAAAAAAGAGATGCAAAAGAAACCAAAAAAAAAAGAAAGAAAAAAAGAAGAAGAAACTTGTCTGTCCCCGACTGCATCAAAATTAGATGAATTCAATTGAGAGTGTGCACTTAAACGCTAGCTTTGGTCAAGAGGCGCTCTGACACCTGTATTGAGGGAACCCCCTGCCCTCTTCCCCATTGGTGTTTGAATAACAATCACACAGGAGCATCTCAGCTGACAGAGATTGGGAGGAAATTGACAAAACGTGGGCGGGAATTGATAAAACATGGACCTTCACTGATGCTGAAACATGTGAGATGTGTCGTGACAGGTGTGTTCACAAAGACCCCAGCCAGTCCGGCTGATTGTTACGCCAGGTAGCCATTACACAACCAGGCGGCGTTTTGCTCCTTGTGTTGTACAATTTTTAGCTGACTAGCTGGTTTTGGTTAAGGCTATAGACACTGTGTTTTTGTTGTACACTTTGAAAGCCTTTCTTTTAAAATCAGTTATATGAATTTACGAATTGTAATCGAACTTCAACTTAAAACGATCTCCACTCAAGCCCTTCCTAAAGTATGAAAAATCTTTTCTGTTGTTGACACATACGGATCAACATTGAGTCCATCAGAACACGTGCGTCGAGTGCCATCAATTAAAGTTCAAGAAGTCACCAAGCAAAGCATTTGCAGCTTTCAGAATATTAAAGTTGATAAGAGCAGCACTTCCCTAATTTGATAAAGTAGAGGTGGAAATTTTTCCCTAATTTCAGAACAAAGCGTTTCAGATTAAAATCATGGTCATCCACAACATAATTCAGAAAAGTGACATCTAACGCGACGATGCAGCCGATAAATAAATAAAGGAATAAACAAAATAAAAACTGGAAACATAATATAACAATGAAATAACAAGTGATTACCTACCGTCTCAAGGGCACAATCGTAGAAATCGCCCGAAAACTCAGAATTGTATGCAAATGTCTATGATGAATAAAACACAGAATAACAAGACTTCTACATACGCTGACAATCAAATCGAGAATGACAAAGAAAATCTGAAAACTACTGGCTCGAACCTCTCTTTGAAGGTACGCTACTTCGCTGCACGTTTCAAAACACAAAGAAAACTAAAATTTTACTACCTGTTGTCAGCTGATTACGCCCCAATAGTTGGTCACGGACATTGCCACGCCCCCGAGGCGTACGTCTCGCTCGCCTCTCACCCACTGACCGGGAGGCCGAGGCAGACAAGTTTTTTAAATTTTCTTTTACAAAGCACAGCAAGCGTTGTTATATAATTATAAGTTGGGTCA